AACATTATATTATTAAAAATGGAAAAATTGCACCTGTTGATGCACAAAATACAGGAATTGTACAACAAAATATGCATTGGAATAATGGGTTACATCAATTTTTACAAATAAAACATGGTGCAAAAATTAGTGCTGAAAGTTTAACAACAAATTTTATTTCAAATGTAACATATTTTAAACGTTATGGTTTGAATATTTATGGTCTAACTGGAACACTTGGAAGTATAAAAGCACAAGAATTATTAAATAATACATACAATGTTGATTGTGTAACTATTCCACCATTTAGACAAAAACAATATATTGAATTAACAGCAATAATTACAAATAATGAAGATGATTGGTATACACAAATTGTTGAAAGTTCAATAAATAAATTAATTAACGGTCGTGGTGTTTTAGTTATTACAAAATATATAAAAGAAGTTGATGAAATTAAAAATCGACTAATAACATTTGGATATGATAGATCAAAAATTAAAATTTATAGAACAGAAACAGATTCAAAAATAATTGAAGAAGAATTAAAACCTGGTGAAATAATTATTGCAACAAATATTGCTGGTAGAGGAACAGATATTCGAGCTGAAAAAATTGAAATAAATGGTGGATTACATGTATGTGTAACGTTTTTACCACCAAATGAACGTGTTGAACAACAAAATGTTGGAAGAACATCAAGAACAGGAAATAAAGGTACTGGACAATTTATTTTATTTGAAAAACGTGAAAATAATTTTAATGAATTAAAAGAAATTGGAAATATGCAAGAAGAAAATGGAATTGCAAAAGCAAAAAAAGAAATTGAAAGAGTAACAATTAAAGATTGTATATTTGCTGAGTTTTGTAAATTATTAGATGAAATTGATAATGGTACTGATGATGAAAAAAACAATGCACATATCAAAATTAAAATTCGAGCTGTTGAAGATCGTTTTGGTATTTGGTTAAAAATCGAAGAAATAAATATGATTGAAAAAACAAAACAAGAAATATTAGATGAATTTGAAAAATTTAAACAACAAATATTAGATGATAAAAAACAAAATAAATTAATTAAAAATCCATATTTTTATGTTTTAACTGGTAATAAATTATTAAATGAAAAAAAACATAAACAAGCAATTGATGAATATACAAAAGCAATTGAAATGGATAAAAATTTTCAAGCAAATGCTTATTATAATCGTGGATATGCGAAACTTGCTGAATATGGTTGTAATACAAAAAAATATAAACAAGAAATTGATGGTGCAATTAATGATTTTAAACAAGCTAAAGAAATTATAGAAGAATTTGAATTAATGTTAAATATTATTCAAAAAGCATCAGATTCAGAAGCATTATCTGAACAAGTTCGACATAAATTAGCACTGTTTGGTACACAAAAAAATACAATTGATATGGCAATTGGAACAGGAAGTATTAATAAAGAAATTGAAGAATTAGAAAATTATAAAAAACGTAAAGATATACCAGCAGAAACAAAAGAAACAATTGATAAACAAATAAAAATGATAAAAGAAATAAAAGAAATTGGAATTATTGGTAAAGCAAAAAAACTTGAAAGAAATTTAGAAATTGAATTTTTAGATATTGAAAAATCATTACCAGAAGATGAAGATTTTAAATTATATAAAGATGAAATACAAGAATATAAAAATAATGGTTTTAGAGGAAATTTTAAAATAAAAGAAATAAAACCAATTGATTGGTCATCCGTAGTTGGTGTTGCACTTCTTGGTATTGCACAAATTGTTGCAGGTGGTGCACTTGCTGTATTTACACTTGGTGCTGGTTCATCATTTGCTATGGATTTAATATCTGAAGGTGTTGGTGATCTTATAATAGCAGTAAAAGATGGTATTATTAATAGAGATTTTAGTTGGGCATCATACGGTATACAAAAAGCAATTAGTTTAACTGTATCAATTGTATGTGCCGGATTGGGTGCAATAAAAGATGCAGCAAAAACGGCTGTTGCCGGTGTTAAACAAGCTGCAACTATAGTTACTGGAACGGCGAAAACAGTTGTAACAACAACAGTAAAGGCAGGATGGAAATTAGCAGCAAAAGCTATGGGTACATCTTTAGCTAAAGGTGTTGCTAAAGAATTAGTAACACAACTTGTTGATTATGGTGTAAATAAAGCATTGATGCCATGTATTGAAGAAGAAGTAATGAAACGTATTGAAGTTCCAATACAAAATGCATTAATAGCAAATCCTATTGTTGAAAAAATGTAAGAATTAGATAGTCAAAATCGAAATAATTATTATCAAAATTTAATTAAACAAAAAGCAATGGAACCATTAAATCCTGAACATCAAACACAATCTGTTTTAAAACAAATAACAACAGGAATAATGACAGGAATAGCAAATCAAAAAATAAAAGGTTTATCTTCACTCTTACAAATTACTGATGCAATGAAAGCTTTAGATGAATTAACAAAATTTGTACCAGAATTTATTGAAAGTTTAAATAAAGAAATAGAAAAATATTTCAAAATGACAAGGAAAAAATTGAAAAACAATTTGAAGATTTCAATAAACAACAACAACAAGTAAATACAGAAACAAAAAACGTTGTTACTGACACTACCACACAAATAAAAACAAAAGAAGAAAAAGAAACTAATAATGATTATACATTAAGTTTTGATGCAGAAAAATCAGAAATGGATATTGACATAAATATTAATCAAAATAATGAAGAAAAAGTAAAATTAGATAAAGAAAAAAAAACATCAGAAGGATTACGTAAAATTTTAGCAACAAGTGTATCAATAAATATGTGCAATATAATAAAAAATAAATTAATTACACCAGTTACACATACTGGTATTGATTATGGAATGAGAAAAGTAACAGCTGGAATCGATAAAAGTCTTGGAGATGAAATTGGAAATTATCAAGCAGAAAGAAGAATTGAATTTTTTCAAATAAAACGGAAATTCATAGAATACCAGATGAATTTTAAAAAGCATTTAAAGATAAAGAAGCTTTAGCTAAAGCTCATGGTATGATTGACGATTTGAAACATGGTGGAGAAGCTGGATTACCTCATTTAGGTGCACTAAGTGATGCAGCGGGAAAACCGATAAAAGTTTTAGATGAAAACGGAAATGTTATACGTATTGTTGGTGAAGATAAAGGTGGTGAACCTGTAGAAGTACAATATTTTAAACCAAATGAAAATAATTTATCAGGTCATTGGACATTACCGGGTGGAAAAGAACCGGAAGGAAATTATACTGGACAAAATAATTGTTTATTTGATGTTGTTGGATCACAAATAGGAATTGATTCAAATGTATTAAGAGAAAATACAAGTATTCAAATGGAAAATAATGTAAATAATATTGCTAATTAAGCACAAGATATTGAACGATTAGAATATTATAAAAAAGATGCATTAACTATGGGTGGAGCAAAATTATATAATGGTGTTGTAACAATTGATGAAGCCGAATTAGATACTATAATTGAATTGGTAAACGCTGATGGATATGATACAAAAAGAAAAAAAGAAACACCACAAGATTATAATTTAATTAACGCAAAAGATGATGATGGAAATGATGTTCAACTTGCTAAACATCATATAATACCAGAATCACAAATAAAAAAAGATCTTAAAAAATTTGTTAATGCTAATAAAGGTGATAAAAAAAAACTTTTAAGAGAATTTAATGACTATTTAAATCATCCACATAATTCACTTGGAAAATCAGTATTTATTAAACATGTTGGATTAGATAAAACCGATGAAGTACTTGGAAGTGAACACTTAGTTGCTGGAGGTGTTTTAGTTGCAGCATCATGGCATCCAAATAATTTAAGAGTTGGACCAGAGGGAGCTTTGAGATCGGATGAACCAACAGTAATAAAAACTGAATATGAAATTGATAGAGCAGTAGCAGGTAAAGATACAAGAATAGAAAAAATATTAGACAATTATGTGAAACAAAAAGATAATAATAATGTAATTAATATTTTACGTACACAAAATCAACTTACAAATAAAGTTGATCAATATGGTTGGTCAAAAATACAAAACACAAAGTCATCAAAACCATCTTATCGTGTTAATGATAAACAAAATATTGGAAAAATTACAAAGCTTTTTACCAGAAATCGAGATGATAGACGGAAATTTAATATTCAAACTGGTACATTTCTTTAAAAATTAATAAAACACAAAGAAAACAACATACACTGTTAAATTATACGTTATACATAATTAAAAGTTAAAATTTTAATTTTAATTTTGCTTCCAAATCTGTATTATTTATTAATTTGTAATTTTTGATATATGATTGATGTGTGAATAATTGCCTACGTAGTGTATGTGTGCAGTTAATTTTGTAGTAATGTTTCATTAAAAATAAAATAATTTTTAATCATTAGGCTTTGATTATCCGTTCTGAATTTGAGTTCTGAGGTTTTCTATCAGTTTTCAAAAGTTTCAGTGTGATCCGATTCAAGATGTCACTGTCTCCTTTTAAATAGGCGAAGCAATCCAATTGTTGTACCTAATTATATAGACATACCTTAAGAATCGATTTCGTAGTTGGTTTATTTGCTGTTTCACTTCTTCTTCTCGTTCAGCAACGAGTTGATCATCACTTTTCTTCTTGAATGAATTTGCACATTCTTTAAATTTTAGCACTAAAGTTGGCAGTCGATCTTTGATGTCATTTCTAACTAACGTTACCGTTTGCTGAAATAAAAGCCAATTTAGACGAATTAATTTTAATCTAATGTGTGTAGGTGTAGACATAGTATGACGTCAAAATGTTCAAATAAAGAAACTGTGTTTCCCCTCTAATTCCCCAAAAATTCTTTGATAAAAAAGTTTATATGGCTTGCTACACACTTGTCTTACGACACGGTTATATCGATATCAATCAAATAGTTGAGAATAGAAGAATAATCTCTGCCAAATCGAACATCTTGACTTTTAAAAAACATTTCAGTAAGAATAGCTCTTGTTTTTCATTCGATCAGTAATCAAGCTCATTCATTAAAACGCTTAACTATTCGTCTCTTGACTAGTCTGCGCATCAAATAATACGCACCGTAACAGTTGAGATCTCACTAGCACTTGCACTCTTGTCAATAGACACCCGTGTAGTGCAAGTGTTGTCCATATTTGGATCGTTTTCTCTTGGAGGCTAAAATAAAGTACAAACTTCATTTAGATTAGGACATCTCTTACACATACTAGGGTATGGTTATTATCGACGTAGCTTCGAGCGTTGTGGAATATTATATTGTCACCAGTTCCATTATTCTGTGCTCCAGACATAACTTTAACCCAGAATGTTGAAGGATTTTTTCTAATTGATGGCGCTTTCTATTTATGTGCAAACTGAAACTAGAACCGACGACAGAACCTTTTCCATGTGTTCTCACGAAGTGAATTGGTCTTGCAGGATAAATCTCTCTTATATTTGCACAGATTGAAGTAAAGTACGAAGGGTTTCAAATATGTTTCTCTCCTTGTGCTATTGTTTTTTCTTGTTCTTGTTTTCAACTTTTTAAAAAGTTTGAACAAAAAGCAAAAGCCCCAGTTCTAGTTTTACGTAGCGAAACTTTGATACTAGAAAGTAAGACTTTGTGTTCGAGCTCCGATGCTTCTCAAGCAAAAAAATCGTATATGAAAATATCTAGATATTTTATTGTGGTATTGGGCAATATAATGCCCAATATATCTAGATAACCCAATAAAAGTGACACATGTACCTAGATATTTCATAGTAGGATTGCCCAATACCACAACAATATATCTAGATACTTCACAAGATTTCTTACTTGGGCATGTGGTCAATCTAATATTCAGAATCCTGTAAGATATTGGATTATTTAGATATATCGACTACTTTATTGAGTTAACTAGTTTGGGTTGTCCAATACTCAATACTCTCTTTTTACTTGTATCTAGGTATATCGGGTATTGGATTGAATTGCCTAGGTAGGATTGCTCAATACGCGATAGTTTTTATTTGCTTGGGTTCTTGTTTTGTAGCAGAAACTTGTCGCAGGCTGTTTTAAAATAATAAAATGAGTTTATACGTCGTAGATTAGTCCATATTTTGAGATATAATGTAGGTGGACATAGTTTAGCTAGTATTTAGATTTCGAACCTATAGCATCCACTGATAGGTTTAAAACTACCTGAGTTATAACTAGTTGGAGTTGAACTTAGTTATAACTAATTTAACTTTTAGTCAAAGATTTACAGTAGTTAAAACTATGAACCACAGTTATAACTATCAACTCGGGTTGATCGATATAACTGCAGTTAAGAGAGTTATAACTATATCAACTTTAGTTATAACTGTGCCATAATACAAACTGTAATGAGCTTCCACTTTTTTATTTTGGGTTGGTAATCATCACTAATACCGATGCAGTTATAACTGGAGTTGGAGTGGTTATCACTCTACCCATTTGGTGTTGAAAACTCATTGCTACCGAAACTTGCGGATTGCGTTCAAATAG